TAAAACACTTACTATGTCTTTCTCTGAGTGTTTTAATATAAATCAATCTTGAAATAATACAAAAGGTAATTAAGACTAATGAAAAGAGGTTTAGGCGACATGAATTGCATAATAATGTATTACTGCAGTAGTCTTAATATTTTACTTTAATCTTTTCTGAACTTACTTGCTTTTTTCCACAGTATGTACATTTCTTTATAATTATTATTAAACATATATGATATAATGGTATCTATTTTAAAGGGAAATGTATACTTTCTTCAACGCATGTTTTTTTTTTCGGATTTTTTTTTATTTTCCCCTTTAGTTTAATTACCGCAAATGTGTTTAAATACTATATTATTTAATTTGAAACTCTCTTTTTTTCAATTTTAAAAGAAAGTTTGTCATGATTTTGCCGCTGTGTGTTTGGGGGCGGGGTGTGTGAGTTAAAACTGTCATTGCACGGCGTTAGTCGTACGAAAGCAAAAAAAAATACATGTTCACTTCAACGTTTTTATGATTATCTTTTGAATTCGCGAATAAAGTAAGGTAAAATAAAGCACGATTCAATTTCTTGAAGCCGTAAATAAAATACATGTATTCTTTATTACAGTCACTCACATTCGTCAACAAACAGAACATTCCGTATACATGTTTGTAGTCTATATAACCTCCGACACCCGTTGTGAACTCGACAGTCTATCCTTCATTTGGATCCGAGTTGTATTTTGCCGACCGTGCTCTTAAAATCAACTGTCGTTGCCATATCCGACAGGACTTAAAAGGGAGAAAAAGACATCCCGCAACCCGCCCATTTTGGCCCTTTTTTGCATAAATATTGACCTCTGTAGACACTGTTTTTCACTTAGTTCTGACTTTTTTCTCTTCCATTTAAGCATTATAAAATAAGTCTTTCCTCACGAGATATATACCGGTATTCTGCAGTTGTTCATGTTACTAGTACTAAACGGTCCATTACTAGTATGCCCCAGAACAGGGTTTATTTTTTTATTTCTCAAAGGCTTTATATATTTGGTGTCCTGTCATAGTTCCAAAAACATACTCATTGGCCAATTACGTGAGCCATATTTGGCTTGTGTTGCATTCTTGGTATTAGTACAGTTATAGTGATTTAGTATTTTGCATATAATCAGTTCAATAAAAACGATTTTCTTAAGCTTTCGACGTTTAGCCTTCTTCAGAAAAAATTGACTTTTTTATTACTGCAGATGTTTTGCATGGAAGTCAAATTACTACTTTGTTTTACTTTTTGCTACTTTTATGACGAATCATTTTACGTCATGTAACATGCTCTAAAAGCGTTATTTATAAAACTCATGTTTTCCTAATCTAAAGAAAGAAATATTAATTCGTCTCTGATGTGCCTTTAATCATTTGAAAGTACAGTATAACAGTGCGTGTAACACTTCAGCTGACCTCTCATGAAAATCAACAGGCATATCTCTGTGAACAGTTTGCATATCAATACGTCACTGCGCCGACATCATACTTGCGTTTATTTTCAAACTGTCATTCTTCCGCAACGGGAAATAGTCCCATTTTCTTCGCGGTAATAAATTTCTTGAAACTTTCGCGTAAATTATTGAGACAAGATCTTCAGCTTTTGAAGTGGCGAATTCCAACATTTACTAGAAATGATAGGCATACTTTCTCTTCATAGTCAGATGAAAAATTGGTGAAACAAATGTCGAGTGATGAATTAACGCAAACCTTTGAAATTTGATTTATGTTACCGTCTGTTATAAATAAACATCGTAGTTGTAGAGGCGTTCTGAGACGGGGAGTTTGTTGCCGATTTTTGTGATATTGTGTAAACACAGTTTAGACGTTCGGAATCTCTCTGTCATATTCGATTACAAATTACAGAAGAATTGTAATTAATGAGCGCCATATTGTGTTCGTCAAGCAGCCATTTTGAAACTAAAACTGACATAGATTGTTTTTTAATTCTCCTGTTCTCCCCACAATAGCACATGCGGTAAATGTTAGGTGTGACTATCACAATCACAGGGATTATGTACTCTCCATATTCGAGATCGTCCAGAAGTATGACTTTGGCGGTGTTGATAGTTTATACTTCGGATCAAGGCAGTTAGCCCCATTAAAAAAAATACCAGAGCATGTAGTTCAGGCACCGCATCGTTCCTGGTCAGGCTATCAAGCAGTTTGTCCGTATTAGTTGCCTCCACTTTCGCAAGGAACTGATAACTTCTGTTCAGAGCAGAGGCGCAGTGCGAATGACCGCAGAAAGGGTTTCATGATCAGTCACAACAAAAGTGACCTGCACCGTCCGGGAATCGAACCCGCCTCGCCCGATTTACAGTCCAACGTTCGACCGGTCTAGCTAACCGGACGGTTTGACTGTCATCCCAATGTATGAACATGGACGTGCTTGTAATGCGATCATGGACCAATGAGAACCCGCCAGAATAATAGAATAAACTCTCATAACTATTTCAGTTTTATAAATACAATATAGTACTTTATTATAATGATATTTAGCAAGCCTTAGAAAGCAAGAAAATAAGTCTTATTTAAAGATGGGAGGCTGGATAGAAACAAAATACATGTAGTGTCTTCTTCTATAGACAGATTAAAGGGACTCCACTGAAAGTGTTTTTTTTTACATGATGGGACTGGAAATAAGTTTTAGAAAATAATGTTCCATATGATGCAGGTTTAGAACAATTGTGGGCAATTATTCAATTGTCAAAAAATGGTCCCAGATTGAAAAGCGTTGCAACGCTGTTCACTCGAAATGAGCCAAGAATAGCACAAACATACGATTTTCAATTTATTTCTGGGTATAATTCTCAAAAATATTTTGCATATCTTGCTGTTTTAAGTTCCCCAGGTGATTTGTGTAAGGTGACTTTTTCTTGTCTAAATAGATTTACGAGGTTTTAATTAAAAAGATCAGTGTAATCATATTTTATTGCTAATGTATACATGTAAATAAACATAAATACAAATTGATTTCGAAAAGGGTTTGTCCCAAGTTCTTACAGCATTAACGATCGGCCCTCCCCTGATAGCGATTGGTTCAACACGGAATGTAAGAGCGTTCCTGAAAGTATTTAACTAATATCAAAACTAATTCGTTTAACGTTTTGCCTTCATTGTCAGTTAGAAATCCTACCAAGTTGTTTCAGTAAGTTCTAAATTTTTGCAAAAAGAGGTAAAAAAATCTGGAAATAAAGTTTATTCACCTTAGGAAATCTATGAACCTATGAATATCAAACGGAATTTGATGTAATTTCAATTTTAAAAAAAGAAACGGGTAATTTTTAATATGTTAGGCCAATTTATATTTATATCCAAAATATTTTCAAATATTATCTGTTGGTCAATCACCATAATAACAGTCAATCTTTTGAATTTTATAGTCAATATTATTCAACTCAACTTGACAATAAAAATGAGCATATTTAAATATACTCCTATGAAACACACAAAAGTATTCCGTTTATCATATCTTGATTGAGTAGGTCTACTTTTGAAATCAAGTACAGTTTTGTTCTGTGGGAGTAGCAGTTGGTACATCATAGATAAAAAACATGAGAGCATATGTAATTCACATATCAGAACATATCACGAGTCTTGTTATTACATTTCGCTAATAGTCGTAGCAAAACTAGAAAATGTCAAAGTGTCAGAATTTATATGAAACTGTTATTTTAATTCATGTTGTAAAATGTTTTACCTAAACAATTTTTGTATCAAATTAAAGCTTAATGTCTTAATTTTCTAATGTGGAAGGGAAAAGAACGGACATAGTATTATTTGAATTACATTTAAACGGTTTAATTATGTCAAAAATCAAGACAACCAAATCTACAAGTATCGACCTTTAAACGTCTTCATCAGAAAAACGATTTTAAAACATGGTAAAGATTTGAATCTTAAAATATATATTTCATTCTTATTTATTTTCATGAGTAGGACAAGGTCTTATGCTTTGTCAATTTGTTAATATCTATTTTGCAGTTATTTTTAATTTCATGAATTGTCATTTTTGCTTACATTTAGTTCTTTAGTTAAATGTTAGTTACAGTTGTAACCAGAGACATAGAATATATGTATTTAACGTCTCTGTTGTAACCAATCCGTTTCTTAATCGGTTCAGTGTAATTTTGGCAAAAATGTAATACTTAAATGAAAATTTGCAGAAAGTTATTGAAATATGAGTAAGCTAAAATATTAATTATATAATTAAATACGACATATTATTTTAATACAGGAGAAAAAAGCAAATTCAATTATGTAATGAAAGCAAATTTGTATAAAAAAAAAAAAAACATTGATTCCAGGTGTTGAAAATTGAGTATTGCTCAAGCCGGTGCTAGGGAGCGTGAGGGATGTTGCGCTCATTCATTGTCCCTCCTCATGTACAGACTTCATCAAAACGAGTCTGCAATTTTTCAAGTAATTTTTTGTGTGATTAGTGCTTCCGAGGGATCACTCTTTTTCCAGTTTTTAAAAATGAAATGGATATTTAAAATATAACAATAAGCTATGTCGTATTTTTTCATCCTTCTATCATGATGAAATGTTTTAAGCAATAGAATTAAGATCAACTGTTGACAACATATCAACTTTTCAGCTTTAAATAGAACGTAATATATCAAGAATAACATTGTGGATCAAAGATAAGAACACTTGTCATTATTCTATGTTCATTTTTAGAATCATACTTAAATTAATTCTGTTTTGTATATTTGAGATTTGATTTGAAACAATCTGGAAAATAACACAGCATCTGTTCCTCGTAAAAATCATCGGCAATTTTTACACCCGATAAAAATTGTAATAAGTAGAGGAAAACAATCCTCCGTTGTTAAAAATGATCCGTTTTGACAAATTACCGAACTTGATACATACATATACTCTGGGCCTGTCAGTTTCGTTCCTGTAACCATGACATTATCGTTTGATTGACAGGCGCTAAGCTCCGCCCACTGACATTATCATCACCTACGTCTTGAAAGGAATCGGTAGGCGAGAATCCGGCAGGGGGCACCTTGCACAAAATTCCACCATTCGTTAGCACATATTGTATGTTCATTAATTACTGATAATTAGTTAGACAGATCTCTGACAATCAGAAAATTTCTATTAATTATATATGTGTTTTGCAAATGAAATAGAAAACAGTTGCAATTAATGAGTGAAAACCTATTGAAAATAAAATGCATTAAATTTTTATCGGGATTGAAAAATTTTGGGGTTTTTTTTAGACAAAGTGGATTTTAATTACGATAATCGGATTTAAGATAATATTTTGCGTATTACCAAGGAAAACAAAAGTGTTTCCTATTTTCAATTATCTCTATTTATAATGAAGAATCTTCGTGAACTAGTATAGCAAATAACTCGTTCGGAGAAACTGCACGACGATTGTGTATTTATATCATGAAAAAAGACGGGAAAAAGCGACGATCAGACGACGATCCCAGTGTTTCCGACACCGACAGCGGATGTTCTAATGATTCTTTTAACGAGAGAAAAAGACGGAAATTATCCCCGTCACGAGAAATGGACAATTCGGACTTACAACCCGACGGAAAACCACGAACACACGCAAACGCTCGGGAACGCGACAGAACGCAAAGTGTCAATACGGCGTTTGTCACGTTACGGACTCTGATCCCGACGGAGCCCGCGGATAGGAAATTATCTAAAATAGAAGTGCTAAGACTTGCTACAAGCTATATAGCTCATTTAAATACTGTGTTGATGGTCGGTGCAGACTGCCTCGATCAGCCGTGCATAAAACACCAGGCAATGTTGCGGGGTGGAATGGACTGCATGCCTAAAGCCGTCTGCACTTTTTGTCTAAGTAATAGCAGAACCCGTCCAGTAAGTATAATTCTTTTTCATACAAGTTTTGTTATTATTTATGGGTTTTTTAGATTTTAATTGTTGTTTTATTGTGGCGTCCCTTGCCGTCAGAAATTATTTTCGCATGAACGTAAGCTCTACCATGAAAAACTAGTTCCTTTGAAAGATAGAAATAAGTCATGAAATGGAAAATATAATTATCCGCTTCATTTAAACATGATATTTGTCGGTAAATAAAGATCTTACAGATAAAACATGTATATGGCATATAGTTTTCTATTGTTGCTATTGCTATTGTTGTTTTTGTTGTTGTTGTTGCATGATTGTTTTCAATTCTAATACCAACATTTTGTTTTCAATAAAATACACATGATACACATGCAAATGTGCCAAAGTTTGAAGCTTTATAATTTTCTCACTTACCAATACTATACTGTGTTACTCTTTTGTTGTTTGTTGTTATGTACAATCAACACAATTATTTATTGTATATATATTCATACTTAATTTTGTATCATTCGTATACATACATTTTATAATGTATACAAATATTCACATAAAATCTGCATACAACCATTCTATTTAAAAATTTCAAGAGACATTATATCAATGAGAAACATATTCAAGACCCTCAAATAGTTCAATTACAATGTAACAGAATATTCAAAGTTAGGTAACCATCGCTAATCGAAAAGTATTACAGACCTTCTATTAGAGACCAATATTGTTTTAATATGTGTTTTGTATAGAATTATATACATATGAATTAAAATCCATGTAATATTAGCATAATGCAAATTAAAGCCTACTGCGCGTTATTTCTGTTATGAATTAACAATTCGGTGAGAGAGTAATAATTAAACTTTTTCTCCATTAAGTTACAATAAATTATATATTATAATTGTAAAGCTGTTAAACAATTTTTATTACAAAAAATAAATAAATAAATAAATTTCCATTTCGTATATTCTTATAAACTAACAAAACATTACGAGTACATGTATTATCACAATGTGGTATATTTATATATAATCGTAACCATATTTTATTATATGAGCAATTACAAGAATAATGATGATAATAATAATAATAATAATAATTATTATTATTATTATTATCATTTTATTATTATTTATTATTATTATTTATTATTATTTTATTATTATTATTATTATTTAAAGATACTATTGTAGATCAGTTAATGAATGCGATGTATATGTATATTAAAGTGCGAAGCCTGCATTATGTAAGGTGTTAAAAAATTGATAATAAGTTTAACTATAAAACAATAACAAAGTTTCAAACAAAGTTTCACGGAATGCATTAATATTGAAACGAGACTTATAAAAATAGACCGTTTTACAGTATACCACTGAATGGAATTTTATTGGACGAACACGCAAAAAAAGTCTTGTAATTCACGTATAATATTTTTTACTTCCATTGAAAATTATGCCTTTTTCTGATATTTGCGAAACTAATAACCCCGAATATTTACTTTTATGAAATTTTATTTAAAATGTTAATTTATTCCTTATTTTGAGTTTGCAAGTTATGTGCATTTATATTCATTCTATCTAATGCGCTTTATATTTATCATCTGTTGATTATGCAAATATTTCTGTTCTGTGTATATGGCAGTGTATTTGAATGCTTGAATTACTTACATAAATTGAAATAAAATGTTAATTCATAAATGTTTACATTTGCAAGTGGCCAGTTATTTCATATTATGAAAACAGAATAACCAAATAATATAAAAACCCATTAAGAATAAAGTATATAATTTAGAAATATATTAACAGTGTTACTTGCACAAACAGATTGGCAATGGTAATTTTCATTCAAATGAACCTGCCTTTGTTTAACAAATATTTTGCGAGCAAAAGTTTCAACTGTTTTAACAAATGGGTTGAAGGAAAGCAAAAACAAAAATATTTATAGGTCTTTACTGTTTCACAATAATTTTTATGATTAATAATACGTTCAATGTTGCATGAATAATACAACAAGAAATATCAGAAGTATTTTTTCAGTTGCCCGCACCATTAATTAAGTGTATGTTAATAAACGCATTGCCTATTCTTCTAAATAGCTTTTCCCTACACCTTTACATGCCTTAGAAACTTTGATACAAAACAAACTTTCGGAAATGGAAAATGTTCGATTATTCCAGTTTTGATATATACTAGTACACTAACTAGTACATCTTACATTTAAAAAGAAATTTATTATCTATTACATTGAATTGTTAGAAAAGAAAATACATTTTTTTGTCATCTACGTCTGATATAATAACAAATATTACTTGAAAACGTGAACATTGCGAAAAACAAAGTACACAAGAAAAACTACACAGATTTGCATTGTTAAAAAGGACCAATTAAACAACATTTTGTATGGTATCATAATAGATCAATTAAAATAGTGCAATTTTATGTAAAAATGAAACGATTTGTATATGAACTGTGAACAAGAAGTTCCGGTCATTTAAGTTGAATGTTGGAATCATTAAAAAGCAGATAAATCATATTTTAAATTAATAATTATTAGTAGCTTAATATAAACATGCGTAAACAATGCTATAACTTTCTACAAATATACAATATCGTTTTATTCTGAAGTGGTTTTGCCGACAATTGCCAAGCTAAAAAAATAGGGAATTGGATTATGTCAAACTGTTAAGAAAATAGTAATATGCAAAGGGGAAGGAAAATGCCGTTTTTTAAATTCATTTGTGTATATTTATAAAAAGTGTAGTCATTTTAAGTATTAGCCATGAATCAGTTTCAATCACCTAGGAATTTGACCAGAATATTCAAATAACATAATCCATTATTAGGAAAGTATACAACCATACCACGGAAAGATACATTTATTGTTTAAATTACGGAAAATATTTTAACGTTAAATCATACATAGAAACACACATTATTGACGGACACTTCCACCATATAGATTAAAATCATACAAGAAAAGTTTGGAATGCAATAAAGGTTTGTATTATTATCTCACATACATGTATGATACCTTTCGTATAGTAAGGTTTGCTCCACTGATATGTTCTATTCTGTTCATTTCTATTTTTAAGAAACTAAGATAAAAAAAAACAGCAATCGCTCAATTTTCACTATATTGATACTACTTAACAAAATAATAAGTTCTCAAGTTTTCTTTGGAAAAAATGGCATAAAATATACCCAAACCTATTTTAATCATTACTCAAAACAAAACAAATTCATTTGGATTTAGCAATATCACAAACACACACAAATTGCATTATAAATTAGCGACATGATTCCGGAGACAGTCAATGAATAATGTTGTAATTATTCCTCTTGTGATGTGAAACAAAGCGTAAAAAGAAACCAACATATTTAAAGTGTTGAAAAAAAATTGAGCTCCGCTCAAGCCGGTGCTAGGGTGTGTGAGGGATGTTGCACTTTTGCGTTATCCCTCATGTACAGACTCAATCAAACCGAGTCTGCTGTTTTCATGTAGTTTGGGTCACTTTTTTCTATATATTCGTAATCTCTGTCCTTCTTTCTAAATTTCATCTTATTAGCTTTAGTAAAATACTTTGATGATATGAGTATTTCACGGAAAAAGGTAATAACTGAAATGAATATATGTTTCGCACATTTTTTTTAAATAAATCAAGCAAAACAAACGTTTGTATTACAAAACATAAATTAACAAATGAAATGTAGCTTTAATTATAATTTTACAACACATTTTGGAGACCCCATATTCAAAATATAACAGGCGCTGTTCGTTTTAAGAAAAGAACAATTGAATATGGCTACATAGTCACAATGGCTGCTTGTCATAGTGTATCGCATTCCTGGATAAAAACTAAGTCTGGTGGTAGCGTTATTATTGTTGAACAGTTCAAATCTTACAAATTTTAATCAATTTGCTATACAAAGTTTCATCAATATGACCATAAGATATTGACTACAAATATTGCAAAATTGAACATGGTTCTTTTTTGAATAAAGTGAATTCAGTTATCCAGGGGCCGATGTTATAAAGAAATATGCTAATCTCAAACTTAGATCACAGGTATTTGATTGGTCAGAAACTTGAATTGACCAATGACAATCCTGAGATTCTAGCTTTATTCTAGTCTACTATTGAATGATGCTTGTTCCATATGAACTAAAATATTAAAGGAATATTAAACCTAGAAAATGGAACAAGTGTTAATATTATTGTTTCATACCTGATACGTCTTGAATAGACGAGAATGCACTGAGATGTTCTGGTCATTTGAGGTGAAATGCCGGGAACAACTCCAACCAAGGTACATAGCAGCTGTCTTCAGATATCAAAAACAGATCGGTGTAACAATGATAATTTAGATTAATTGTTATCTATTATACTAATCTTTATTATCCATGATGGTATAACCGATTTTTTATAAAAATTATTAAAAATTATTTTTTTTCCGATTCTTGATATAAATCATTTAAATGGCAAAAACATATAATTATACTTATATCTACATGCATGTTGCACATAGAGAGTCAAATATTATATTTCAAAAACTGGGTTCCCGCCGTTTTTGTATTTTACAGGTAACCTTATTCAGCACGGATGTTGACACGTCGTATGATGTCCTTTATTGCGACATGTCGTGGAAAAAGAAGCAATTTACTTTTTCCGCTGAATGTATCAATTATTCCATTACTATAATAAGCCTGAAACGTACATAATCCATGTATTTTTCTTCTTGCAGCATTATCTCTAATATTGTATGGTTTATCTTAAATGTTCAAAAGGCAAAAATTAATGTGTTTAATACCCGCTGCAAAACTTATTTCACAATCGATCTTGAATAAATAAATTTAAGATTAATACATAAAATGTACTGATTTGTTAAACTAAAATGACTCATTATATCCATGGTTCATTTTCATATCTCTTTTCTGTATTACAAATTTATCGAATATATATATATGTGCCTCTTTGGAGATAAAAATTATCCGCAAAATGATAGTCAAAGGAAAAATGCG